GCTTCCCTTTTTCCAAGCAAAACTTGGCTTACAATTTGTGCCAGCTCTACAAATCTTTGTAACATAAAAAATGTGCTGTTCCACCTGGTTTTAACATCCAAAATTAATTTTTTTAAGTTCCCTTCTTTAACGTCGTTTTGTTTTTGATGATTTGTTTTTGATGATTTCTCAGCTGGTCACTGGCATTTACAGAACTTTTAAACCATTTCACAATATTTCGCACTTGATACTTCCTGAAATTCAGTGAAAGTGATTTTTCAGCTATTAAATTGATCATGTGTGAGCAAAACATGGCGATTTTTACCAAACAATGTATTTATAGCTGAAGTAGTATTGGCGCCACCATCTGTCACAACGGCCACCACTTTATCCAATGCTATTTCCCATTTCTCTAAGCTACTTATTAGTTTTTAACGAATGTATTCGGACGTATGTCATTGATCCAACTCTTGCACAGCATTATAACTGAGTGTTGATTAAAGTCTACAACAAAATGCCCTGTAATTCCGAGAAAACTCCTGGTTGTCATCATTTCACTCCAGATGTCGCATGCGAGTGAAATGAATGAAACTGACTTTATTCTTTCTCTACTAGTATTAATCTTTATCAGGATCACTACTTCTGTAGTAGTTGCGTACATCTAGTTGAATCTTACTCTTCATTAATTCATTATCCTAATTATTTCTCCATGTGCAGGTGTGGATTGATTGATTTACCTTAAACTTAAAAGGAGAGCCTTTACAGGCAGCATTTAGACGCGCATGTGGCCCATTGTGCTGCCCCCCTCTTGGTGCAGCCCTGTCTTACCTCCGGTGCAAGCAAAGTTTAAGAAAGGTACAGACCCGCTCAGGTCGGACATGCTTTATTTCATCTGGTTCCAGAAACTTGTACCCCAGTTATCGTAGTCTGCGACCGACAAGGGCGTCGCAATCTGTAGACTTGGTAGTTTCATCTACTTCGCTACAGAATCTGCATTCCGTCTCATTATTGGGTCCGATTTGTGCAGGTGGTATCTGACCATTCAGAGCCCCGTCAGGACTGTGATGGTTCTTAGTTGACTCCAGTTTAGTTTTAGGAGGTTTTTTGCCTTCTTGCAGTTTGAGGGACCTTATAACGATTCAATCGCTAGCCTAGACTCACAACGTAGATCCACTACCTGCAGTCAAAGTCTGAGCCAATAGGCCTAGATAACAGAGCAGGAGACGTTGTCAAAATACACACAGACGATGTATTTACCTTGTTGAAATACATCCAACATCCACTTTTTAGTTTAGGCGTCGGCGACATTATCAACGGTATTCTGAAAACCTAATTATCTGTTATTAATTACCTATTTACCCTACTTATACTTACATTACAATGATTTATATTACCTAGATTGTTAGATATCCTCCTAAATACCTACCTATTTTTATTCTTACATTCTTACCTTCTTAAGGCCTTTCTAAATCTTGGTAAATCCTTTTTAATTATGCTAAATAATCACCAATCACAAGTGGAAAAAAACACACTACTTATAAAATTTCCTCCTAGTCCCAGACACAGAGATCCCAGACAGATCCCAGAAACATAACCAATCTTTCTTGCTGACGTGTGACGCCTGACGTGCATGCATTTCGGTTCGGTTCCCAACAGCATATGTCTTTATTTATAGACTTCTGTTGTGCAAGAAAGAAAGACAAGAAAGATATAGATTAAAACGGGTCATTTATCCACTTTTTTTACATTTTCCAATTACTCTTTTCACACAAAGATGTCGCTTCTGCCTGCCAATTTCAGTATTTAGTAAGGTTTTTCAAGTATCGATATTAGACAAATAGTATCGATACCTACTACTTCATTTGAGAAAAAAAGTATCGAGTCTAAAAAGTACTCGATATTTTGAGAATGTATCGATACCTACTTTCAAAGTATCGATAGTATCGTTGCATCCCTACACGAGACCCAAACAAGGGTTACCTTGTTGCGCCCACTGAGTAGTTCTAGGGTTGTCATACAGTCAAGCGTAAGCCTTGAGTTGACCTTGTCTGAGCAAAGGGCTCGAAGTGCTGCCTGACTGTTGCTACATATAAAAATATGCTTGCCCGAGTAAACTCTCTGAAGATTCTCCTGAGCACACACCTGTATAGCATAGATCTCAGTCTGGTATACCGTTGGCTATCGACCCAGTGCAAGACTGGTTCTCGCCACAGGTCTCTCCCATATAGACTAGCCCCTGCACCCTCTCCCAACCCGTCTGAGTACCAGATGGCTTGAGGAAACCTGGGTCAGGCTCTAGCCAGTCATGCAAGGATGACGACCTTGTATTGTCTAGGTAGAGCTGAAGTTTTTGGCATTGCGTCCCCTCTACTGAGAGAGAGGTCCTGTCTGATAGTATCAATCTAGGCCCTTACATATCCCATATTCAGCCCTCTATCAACCCATTGACTCCAATCGTTGAGTTTGACTGAAGCCTCCCGTACCCGTCCCTCCACAAAGAGATGAAGAGGCATTAATTTCTAGTATGGCCTCCATTGCCAGCATTGGGATGGTTCTAAAGGCTCCAATTATAGCCATGCAGGCAAGTCATTGAAGCTTGTCCAGCTTTGCCCTATAGGTGGATTTGAAAGCGCAAAACTAAGATGCTGTACGTGATCATTGACCCTATGACTACTGTGTCAAGTCAGTGGAATATGACTATATGAGTGGTTGTAAGCCCCACGTGCATCCGATGGATGCTCTACAAGCCCAAAGGCTAGCAGTGGCCCTCTGGACGATCCTGTTAACGTGATTTTTCCAGGCCAGACCGAACCGGATGGAGCAAGTCTCGATCCAAAAAGCGTGAGCTCTTCCAGGTCCACGTTTCTTCACTTTGTAAATGGTACTACTTTGGTCTTGTTCGGATTTACCGAAAGCTCGTGCTTATGATGTTAAGAGTCCTTTGCATGATTCCTTCAATGATGCTGGGTACCATGCCAGCCACGACGACAAGATGGTCCGCGTAGTCTTGAGTGAACCACAGCAAGGGCAATAGTGCATCCTCCTGCGTGCAGCCTCTAGCTACGGTTGAGCTGATCTCCGAACTTCCAATCGAGCTTGTAATGATTCTGCCCTCCAGCATGACAGATACATTTGACAATGGTGTTCTCTACGCCAAAGCTTTCTGCAGAATTATTTATGGAGCTATATCGAGTCGAAGGTCGAAGGAGGTTTTATTAAATTCCCCTTCGATGTCTAGAAATACCCCCACCCCAGAGCCGTTTCTTTGTGAGACATCTCTCACTCCAGCCTTGCCCCAAGGCTGTGAAGAGCCATCTCAGTTAGCATGGCAGTCCCGTAGGCGAGTTGATTAGGGTGCATGGGCATTGACTTCAATGCTCCTCCCCTAATGAATTTGTCCACCAGTTTGTCCAGCGTTCTTATGTACGTGTTCTTTTAATCGTATTTCTACGTGTACTTATTAGGTCTTGGTTCTCCTTTCACGGCTTATTGAATCAAATTTTCCTTGTATAACATATCTTTCTTGTGTGGACTGATTATTGAAATTTTCTCTCTGCTCTTTTACTTTCTTTCCAATTTTCACACACATCTTCTATACATTCAACATTTATGCTTTTGATGAATCGTATAACTCCGATGGAATAAAACGATCACCCTTGGTTTTCTCACAATAACCCACAAACGTCATTCAGGGTCCCATTTTCGCACCCAGGTTTGTCCAAGCGGGCCGATGTCACAAATATAGCCTAACTTTAAAATAACTGAAAATAAAAGGAAGCTTTTCATTTCAAAATAGCTCATCTCTTTTCAATATTGCTTGCTGAATAAATTTATTCAGAATGAATTGCGTGATATATGCGCCAAAAAATAGATGGAAAGAAACTTACCGATAAGCTTTCGTGTTCCGTAGGGCATTGCACTGACTTCATTCAGTTCACTATATATTTTGCAATATATGCTATTTTTAGATATGAGAAAGGTGGATGAATTTTTTTTTTTTTTATTAATAAAAGTTTCGCTTGTATTGTAGAAATATTGGTTTCATAATTTTTTTTTTCAATGTAAGGCCAATTGTATCTACTGCGAAAATGATAATATTATTACGTGAATGCTTCTCAGTATTTTCATTTCAAACGGAAGCATCATTTGCTGTGTTGGAAAGGTGGTTACATTGTAATTTTATTTTATCGATCATCATGTCATTCAAAAAGCTTCCATTGTAGATTGCGGGGGAGTCGTTTCGGCTTTTCAGCCGCTCAGCACTGCTACCTTTGCAGATATTTTGTGCGTGGTCCATGGTTTATTCTCTAACTTCTCTCTGTGGATTGCTAGAGCTGGTTGGTTTAGGTCCAAAGTCCAATGATATGATATTTTCTCGATAATCCTCTGAATAATATCTGATTTTCTTTTTGTCGAATCTTTAGAAGTTACTTAAAATTTGGTTTTGTCTGTGTTAATGATGAATATTGATTGTTTGTTTCAATGTATTGTTCTTGGTTGTTTCTAGTTCCTTGATAATTTGCGCTTTATTATTGAGTTGCGTATTTATCGTGTAAATGATATAGTAAAGTTTTTCAGTCTGTCAAGATCTATCTATCTTCATCCTGAAATAGGTATGATTGGCTGAATAATGGAATAATATTTTGTTAATAATTTATGTTTCTATTTCATGTTATTCTATACAAAAAAATCACTAAATATTATATAAAATACTCCCCTATCGTGTTATAATGTTCCACTTTATCCAATAGCAAAATAACCAGTCTATATTATGCCTCAAATCAAGCTCCCATTCAGCATATGCGACCTCTAATTTAAATTATTTATTATACCAATAAAGACCTTGAACTTTTTCGAGTTGGTTCTAATAATAGCAACCTTTGATATTACTTGTGTCTGATTGTGTTGTAAATAAATAAGAAGTCTGTAAAGACGTTAGATTTGATGAGATTTTATATAATATATATTTTTTTTTAATGAAACATTATCCTTATTTTGTATGTGTCAAAACTTTGTTTCAGATAAAATGAACCAGCGAAACTTGAAAATGAAAAATTCTTAGACCGTCGATAACATAACCCAGAAATAATGACAAGGGACAGCGAGATACCAACCATATTCAATCCAAGAGGGTCCAGTAGAACTCGCGCACCCAGTGTACTGGTTACCGATGAAGGAGTAGCTAATGGTAAGAAGGAAACTAAACTGGAAATCATCAATTTTTGTATATTATAACAGGTCCTGCCTTCGGTCATTCGGATTCCGTGGGCAGTCACCCCGATTCGGCCGAGCCTCTATCTCCATCCACGCCACTAGGTACCAGCAACGGTACTGCCAATGGAACAACTCAACCTATTGGAATTCGAGGGAAATTAAAGAGTTGCTCTGCGTCATTTTGTTCAAAATCAGCCAGAAAGGTAAAAGTAAATATAATTTATTTTTTACCATCAATAAAATGTTATAGCATGCTACACTAGAAGCAGGTAATTTTAATGTTGCAACTTCATTGTAGCATAGAATCGAACTTGCCTTTTGAAGGAACTTTCTAGATAATGTGTTTCTACTACAGTGTTCTTCAAAAATGAAAAATACTGTTATAATGGTGCGGTCAGGGGACTCGAAAAGACAAGAAGGAATGTAACAATGGAAAAACTAACTCAATTTACCAATTTCATAAATTTTCATTTGTATATTATCAAAAAGCCATAAACTTAACTTTGAAATACAAAAAGAAACATTTGTTCAACATTCTCTTAGTGAAAGAGCTTATTTATTACCTACTCCATAAATATCGTCCTACAATACCTGACCCACTTTCCAATCACTTTAGAGAATTTTCTCTCGGCTGAAAGCCTCCGAGTCGTGAGATATTTGATGCCGTTATCGTAAACTAACAGGAATCGATAACTGAATGTTTTTGCTGGCAACAACAGTAGCTGTAGCAGGACTCGGATGTCGAATGGTCAGGTGATAATTTAGAAAGATGAATCTGCAACGTTGTCATAGTCTAGGAGGCAGTGACGAATTTCGGTACTTATTTTCCCAGTCAGACAACATGGATAGAATTGTAGGGCTAGTAATTCTAAGCAGAATACATATATTTTTAGGGGGGGTTTTCCGATGGGTTGAGGCGCAAAATGCGTTAAAGCTTACGAATGCTCGGCCCTTTTTTTTCTCAGTGATAAAAATAGGTCTACTAATGAGAAGTATACTGAAGTTACGTAAAAAAATAGTCCAGCTAATCTGTGAGTATGGATAATATGTCTGGCAAGTGAAAAATTGAAGATCCCAAAATTTTCAGCCAGGCTCACTTTCACTATCTGAGATAAACCAAATTGCTATTATCATATACTTTATGTTCTATTGTAGTAAATGTGAAATATTTATGTCTGGGAAAATAAGCGTACTTGTATTTTTCATTGATCTTGAAAACCCATCCGAAAATTTTAGGCAGACTCATAAATTCTTGCTTTGTATCACCAGGAGAACAAACTATGTAATAGACACCAACTGGGAAAATAAGTGCTAAAAAATTTCACTGCCTCCTGGACTATCATTATCGGAATGGATTTTTTAAATGAAAATGTAATGAAATTTATTGTGAGGGATTCAAGTTTATAGATAGGGTTGGAAACTTTTCAATTTGGTAAGACATAAATTTAATTTTGGAGTAATTCAGCTACGAATGGTTGTCTACAAGACGAGACGTTTCTTAATTTATTTTTGCTCAATTAGTGGCGGATCGCGTGTAGATCTCAATGGATCGCGTGTTTTCAACTGCACCGATTTACCTTTCGAACGCTCCGCCACATGAACCACACTTTTTGTGCGTGATTTATCGGCAAAGTTTATTCACACACACGTTTCTTGGCCATTTAGAACATTTTCTTTGTGTATTCGTTAATTTTATGCGTTTTGAAGTATGGTTTTGATATTTCCTTTTCATACTAATGTAATTTTGTTTTTCTTGATATTTCCAATTTAATATCAGAAACAATATGCATTGGTCCTAATAGATCAAGAAAAATGTTAGTATTTATCACATAAACGCATAATATTGAAACGCCAAAAAGAATTAACATGAAATAACCTGACAAAACAACAAACGCTGAACATTTCCATTCCATTTAGATTCCAATCAATTTTTGTTTGTTTTTTTCGGAGCCACGAATTAGGGTGTTTCGTCACCAAGTTGAGCTCAAGCGTTATTTTTGCAAATAAATAAACTACGAATTTTCATATAAATTGACTCCAAAGTGGTCTTAATAGAATTGATATTCATTAATTTATACACCTTTGGTAGTAGTATATAACCTTATTCCAAAAGCAAAATACACCATAGGTAGTTGCGTCATATGTTTAAAGCTTTCTTAGTCGTGTACAAAAATGCAAAATGAAAACTAAACCCAATAAAGCCCGTGATATTATGCCTCGTAAAAGCCATTTGAAATTGCAGTTTTATCACTTACTTACATCGTGCATTTCAGTTCGCTTGTTGAACAAGAGAAGTAGCCAAGGTTGACTGATAAGTAAAAACTTTTTAAAAGCTTAAAAGTTCTTTGCAACCTTTAACCTCATTATTGGCACGTGGAACTAGAAATTCCAATTAAATTGTGGAAGAAATGGGGCATTAAAAAATGGTTTTTGATACTTAAATTACAAATTGTGTGAGCTGTGCCCCAAATATTGTCCAATGGAAAACCCAATATATTCTCTTGAAACTAAAAGATCCACAAAAGTTGTCAAACTCATAATATAAGCAGATTAGATCTAGAATACATAAAAAGCGGAGCTCCTATTGACATTTGCACAAAAGAGGAGCAGCTTTGAACTGCAACCAAAACTTATATTCTTCTTTGTTCTAGATTTACTTTGGAATATGGGTAACAGTGTGCGTTACAGCATCATGGGTAGGGGCAACACATAGTATAAAATACCTATATTTAAGAAGGCCAAAAGATGAGGATTATGATGACCCAATTTTGGTGCCACACGACACTACCGATTTAAATATGACTGTAGTACAAACTAAATACGTAAGTAGTTTTTTGTCCTTCAACAATGTTTGCTATTAGTTGACGTCATATAGTGGAATATTTATTCTTTCCGTTTGCTTGGTGTTTGGGCTAAAAATAGAAGTTATATTTACCTACTAAGGAGTTGCTTGGAATGGGTAATTGCAGGATAATCTATTTTTAACCTTAAGCGTTATAGTTATAATAAAAGACTTAACATTGCGTCTGTTTTTTTAGGCCGTATCATACCAAGCACCATTTTTTACCACGTGGTTCGTGACAAACTGGACCATGTTTTTTTTCCCATTGTATTTTATAAGTAGACTAAGCACCAAACGATGTGAGTCAATGTCGGATATCCTAACCGAGAGCATAAGGGATTTTAGGGATAAAGGATTTACTGCAGGTACGGAATATTGAATATTCACCGGTTTCGATTTTAAAAATTGCCAATTGGATTATTCCCGGAAATTCAAACACTGAAATCAGTGAATATTCGCCAAACTATTATTGGCTATATATCAAGCTTTTTCAGGCTCAGCCAATTACTTTTTCATTTTGTATTTTTCGATTATTGAAAGGCCCTAATTTAATGAAAATTGCTTTCAGTGAGATTTATGACAAGATGCAGTTTATTTTGCCTACTTTGGGTAGGTACAAACTACATGTATATCCTTTCTCTGAAAATACTATTGGCGACTGATGTGATGGCTCTGTTCGCCACAAACGTCTCGTTTGTCTATTTGTTAAGTTGGGTGATTTTGCACGAGCAATTTGTTGGTATACGTGTAAGTATTTTTCATAATTAATATTAGATCGTAGTTTTCTCTGATACGGAATTTATGTTTATTATTCAGATAATGGCTGTGATAATTTGCGATACCGGAGTCGCTTTGTTGGCTTATATGGATGGTATTACCGGGAGTCCCACTTTGGGTGGGGTTGTTTTGGCTACTTCTGCTGCAGCAGGATCCGGAGTGTATAAAGTACTTTTCAAGAAGGTAAGAAATTTCTTCTTTTAAATTCGAATTGCTTTTCATAAACGATTTATACTGAAATGGAACGTGGATTTATTTTGAAACTTCTCATATACAAGTAAATTGCCAAAGTAAAACGGATAGTCTTGATATGTAAAGCTCTACCCTTACGCTTATGCTTTTGTTTGAGCCAAATGGAACGGTTTAAAAATAAATGAAGGGATGGAAATGTACAGCGGGTTTGTGATTTAAACAAAAGTGTCAGGGTTTAACAATGTTATTTTATGCAGATTGCTGGTATATTATACCTTCTAATAAAATATTATCAGGAATTTCCTTGTAGATTTAGTACGAGCAAAAAGGTGAAAAATAAAACAACGTATTGTGACCTCGGATATGCTGACGACATAGTTATTATTGCACGGGGCAAATTCAACACTACAGTTAGGGAGTGAATGCATTCTAGATTGAATAACAAGATGGGTGAATAGAGAAGGGTTGTACATGTCATTTACCCGAAGGCGCATAATACAAGAACTGGGACCCTAGACTAAAATGGGAAAACATACAGATTTCGAGTGGAGTCAAGTACCTGGGGGTAACATACATCTCCCATATCTGCCTAATCAATATGAAGACGGACCACATGCCAAGGAGACACTGCCTCAACAGACCGTCCGTCGTCAGCTTCCCAAGCAGAATTGAATGGAAACAGAGCATATCGGAGACCAAAAAGCAGGACTGGACCTGGTACACGGGCGGGTCGAAGAGTGCGGCTGGTACCAGGGCGGGGCAATATTCCGCCAGCTACAGCACTCATTATGCACTGGGGGAGCATACCTCTATTTTTCAGGCAGAGGTTTATGCTATACTCCAGTGCGTAGTAGAGAATAACAGGGGAGCCGCAGCCAACAAGCAGATCCCTATAACGTCGGACATTCAAGACTAGTATGGAAATGCCAGGAAAAACTCAGGACCCAGATAAAACTTATCTGGGTGCCGGTACACAGAAGAGTCGAAGGCAATGGAAAAGCTGACGAACTTGCAAAGAGAGGATCACAGACAAAACTTATCGGGCTAGAGCCGGCTATACCAAAAAGTATGACCAGAAGCTACATCAAAGACTGGGCTCGTAAGGAACATCAACACTACTGAACAATATCCAGGCACAATCATGGTAGGAACTTCATCGACCAAGGTCCGCAGAACTGCTACAGATGAATAGGAGCCGACTATGGACTGTAACGGGCCTTATGAACAGGATGAACCTCTATGACGGAGACCTCAACTGTAAACTCTGCAATAAGGAATCCGAGACAACCAGACACATACGGTAAACTGCGAAGCACTGGATCGCGGCAGACACAGCATTTTCGGGCAACCAAACGTAGTCCCGGAAACAATAATGAAATAACTCACAGTAAAAGACATGTACAACCATGTACAGGGCACCAAAATACTAGAGTGGTTGGAATAAAGCAAAAATCATCGTGGAAGTGTGTAAAATGATGATACTGATTCTTTCATGCCATCTGGTGATTGTTATCTTCGCCAAAAACGCTGGCCGAAAAATTGAAACCGTAAAAGCCGTAACCTAAGCTTCTAAAATGAGACAACCACTGGTCTCCACAGCCACCGCCAACAAAGAGAAATTTGCACAAAATTGTCGAAAGCCCCACAAAATAGTTGGGAGGACAATAAAAAATTACTTGGCAAACGCGAAACGAAATTTTCACGTTTCTGAAATTCATATTTTTAACATAACTACGCTAATGTCACGTTGCGGTTATTTGAAGGAAATATTGCAAACTGGGTGACAGGGAACTAGAATACGGTATTTTAACGAATATAGAATGATCACGATTCGGATTTCATGTCCAATGAGGCCTTGAAAAAGAAATGAGACGCCAAAATATTGAATTTACTGATTACATCATTCAGAGCATTTTGGTTACTGAATATATTATGCATAAACTTTTAAACAATATTCATATGGTTAATTTCGATACTAAAATAGGAAATTTATACACTTATTTGGGCCCATTGAATATAGGTTTTAAGTATCCTCAACGTATATATTATCTAATTTTTTTTTTATCGTGCTAATATTGAATAAGAGCCAACCCAAACCTGTGAATTACCATTTTCAATTACCAGGCATCCAGCTATTTTTCAGAAGAAAAAAATTCTCAAAGTTACGTAATGATTTACTGAGAAAAACGACCGACAAAGACTCAAGTTTTGAGAAAAACAACCGAGAGAGAATTCCAGCGAAAATATAAAGGCAGGTCGTATTCGGAAAAGCAATTTAGAGCGTTTGGCTAGGGCTTTACGTTTCTCTTTAGTTTGCTCTAATGTCTTTTAAAGTCGGAGAACTCGAGCAGAATGTGACTCTTGCATAAATTTTTCTTTATTTTCCTGCAGTATAGTTTTTAAGTGAATGTAAATCTCGTTTGTGAAAAGTTTCGACTTTTATGAATGTTTAAATTTTGTTGTAGGTTATTGGGGAAGCAACCTACGGCCAAGTTGCTCTATTTTTCTCGCTCATCGGAATGCTCAATGCGGCTCTATTATGGCCGCTCAGCTTAGGACTGTTTCTCACAGGCGTAGAGACCTTGCATTGGGACAGGCTCCCTTGGCCTGCGTTACTTAGCGCTAGCTGTCTTTCGCTAGGTAAGAATTTATTCTATTTTTACTCAAATTTCATGTTTCAAATTGATGGCGTTTTTTAAATAGCAATGGTACATCAATGCGGAACACGATTTTTAATCAAAATGCCAAAAATTCTGGATTACTCCGGGAAATAACTTATTGACAAAACGTGTCAAAACTGTAGTTTAGAATACAAAACAAGGCTGAAAGCTGACCCAGTTTCATCCAATTCTTGTATACCGTACAATGTATATTGCAGTTTGAAAACTTGTTACACGATTATAAATTGAAAAAGGCTCGGAGTGTACCTATCAAAGTTTGTCCGGAAAATGGCCTTATCTATTCTCTGCACATACGTCTTTTGGTGTTCATTGATTTTAAGGACACGTACAATGTCTTTGAAATATTTAATACAAGTGTTTTTACTTGAAATTACTTAAATGCGTCTTTATTTATTGATTACCTTACCTTACTCCTAATAATGTAGGCATTCGAGGACCTATATTTTATAGAGATAAGTTCAGGACGAAGAGACTATAAAAGTGACAGAAAACCTTATAAATAGAGCGAAAACCCAAAAAAAAAAAGGCACCTATAGAATAATATATTGGCAATTTTAAGACGCGGCACTCGATCCGGAAAATAAAGATAGAGGCCCCGCGAATATTTTTATGGGGATTTTCTGCAAAATGTTCCAGTAAATTTTCCTCGAATACTAAACGCGTTGCACCATATTGAGCATTGAAAATTGCTTTTCCAAGAATATGGATTTTATTAGAAACGTGACAGATATTATTGTCTCTTGTTTCAGTTGCCAATTTACTGGGAAACTTTAGCGTTGCCCTAACCTATGATCTTTTCATAACTTTGGGACTCATCACGGCTGTACCAGTTTCAGCAGGTATTTCAATAAAATGTGTGTCGTACACTTTTCAGCTATGATTTATTTTTCAGCGTTAGATGTTGTCCTGTACGGAGCTCAATTCGAAGGCATGAAATTAGCCGGAATGATTTTAATAGCTGTAGGATTTTTTTTAGTTATGTTTCCGGATAACTGGCCGGATTACATCACACGATTACTCAGGTGAGTTGATAATATTTTTTTATAATTTCTCAGATATAATATGTATTCAAATATCATACAAATGATTATTATTGAATTCTGATACAAACAAATACCATATTTGCTATCCACTTTCTACTTGTAAAAGTTGGTTCTAATTGCAATTGATTATTCAAAAGTCACAAATGTAATTGTATTACTTTTTTATAAAAATGTTGATTATTGAACAAATATGTAGATGTAGAAAAAATAACTAGGTGCACTCAATTTAATATAACCATGACCCAAATTTTGAACTCTAGAATTAGGGCTATATTCATATTTATTCAAAGGCATTGTTCTAAACAAACGAGAACTTTTGTCTCCTTGTATTTCAAACTAAAAGCTTTTTTATATTGTGCAACAGCTTCTTTCACGTTGAAAGCAGCATACTTGTGTCCTTTGTTTAGCTGACAGCGAATGAGATCTGTCGAGCTAAATGGCTTGAAAAGGGGTCAGCATCATTCGATATCTTATTTTTATACTACGTAAAAAAATTTCGACCAAAAGATAACATCAAGTGGTGTGTACCACTTGATAATATATGGGCTCGCAGTACGTCGTTTCCAGGGGAATATTGTCAGCTTCAAAAATGCTATCTTGACATTTTTCCTCAAAGTGGATAGTTTTCGAGAAAATCACCAAAATATTAAAAGGGTGGATTTGGGGAGCGAAAAAAGAAGGTTGCGGAAGGAGGATTCTCCAGGACTTTTAGTATATTAATATTTAGCCCTAAATTATGATATACACTCTCTAGAGCTCTCTTTCAGTTGCATCACAGTATCCATGTAGCTTAAAGCGGCTACCAGAAATTTGGTTAGTACATCGTGGTATCACGATTTTTTCAATTCTTATGGAATGTCTTCCACTTCAACTGAATATTTTCCGGTAGCTCATCATCCCAACCTAATATTTGTAGCCATAGATCTTGTATCAGAAGCTGAGCCTTTATGGTTACCGGGGTTATCCACCCAAGTGGATCGAATAGCCTCAATACTTCGGATATAAAATGGAACGTATCATCACGAGGTGCCCAATGAATGCCCAGTGACTTTTTTGTCTGATCCTCAGTTATCTCCATCATACTCTGATCTCTCATTTTTTCTGGGATCGACTGCAAAACTTCCATGCTATTTGTTGACCATTTTCTAAGGACGAATCCTCGAGCCAGAAACAATTCAGTGCCCTGATAATAGGTCGTTGTCATAGAAATCAAGTCTGGTAATCTTGGATACCTTCGAGAACCTTGATTCCTCATCTTTTGCTAAACGCTGTATGATTTTTATGGCTAAATATGGAGCAGCAGTGAGTGTTTTTAATCGGTATTCCTGTATTAGTTCCCATATATTATATCTCTGTAAAAGTGTCTGGAACGTTTGGTCTTCTGGATATACCTTAATCTGACGGTACATTTTTTCTATATCGCTGGAAATTGCTATTCTGTGACATCTCCACCGTAGTAGGATGTCTGAGAGCTTCTTAGCAATTAGCGTTGTCATGCTATGCACCTGTGATCTGGACCCTGCGCGCGTAGTCATGGTTCCAGAGACGATCCAACCTAATTCTGTATTTTGTGCAAGTACTTAGTCCATTTGTCGTCTTCTTAATACCTTCCAGAATTATGTCTAAATATTCTTCAGCTCCCAGGATAATATCTACTGGTCCTGGCTTAGAAAATGTCGGATCTTCTAGAATAACCTTTTCTCGTTGATTAAATTCTACGTTGAATTGTTTTGCAGGCAGTGATCTGGTTAACCTTATACTATACGTAACACTTGGAGCATAAAGTTACTTGCGAAACGAGGCCTAATTGTTGCTTTTATTTGCCACTTGGAGGTGAGAGGCTCACCTCCTCCTACCACAGTTATATCAGCCTGCATACGTTGTCTCGGAATTGCTAAGATTGTGGCAGCTTCCTCAGTTATGAAGGTTGACTGAGAACTAGGATCTACTAGTACACGTACTGTCGACTGATCTGTTCCATATATGTCTGCTACCCGGACCATTTCGATGGCTAACAATACCATCTCGTCTTGTCTTTAGCAATGATTTGCAGAGTTACTATGCCGAGAGTTCTGAGAATCTTTGTTTTGATTTCGCTGATCTTGCCGATATCCAGTTTCTTCATGCAACAGGGTATGATGGAATTTTCGGCACTTGCGACATCGCTCTGTGGACAAACAGCAACTTTTGGCGTCATGTTTTAGACAGTTTGGGCATAACTTTCCTTCCTTAACTGCTATCAATCTTGCAGTGACTGTCAAGGCTTAAAATTTTGGGCATACGTGAAGCTTGTGTGGTTGTTTGCAGTATGAGCATGTCGAGTTATTATCTCTAGGCGTTTCCTTTTTGATGGCGTCGTTCGACGTTTCTAGTGAGTGAAACCTTTTCTGGATGAATTTCATCAACTCATCAATAGGCTGTATTTCATGTGGTGCGCATACATGTGATTGCTCATACAACCTGTTAGTCTCAGCATCCCATTTCCTAGTTATGATTCTGCTTATCATTGGATCCCAGGAGGATGTGTCTATGTTTAGGTTGTCCAGGGCTTATCGTGCAATTGTTTAAGTTAGAATGCTGATTCGTGCTGGATACTCAAAATATCTATTATTCTGTCCATCAGTTTGTTCGTTAGGAGGCGGTCGTTTGTCAATGATACTCCAACTTGTTGTATAATTGCTGCTTGTAATTTTTAGATGTTGGATTAAACGTGCTGCTTCTCCTCTGATGTGTGATTTCAAATACTGCATCTTCTCAATGTCGGTTAAAGTATTATTTTCGTGAACAACTTTTGAAAATATGTCACGAAATGTGGTCCACTCATCATACCGACCATCAAAGATGGGCAGTTTAATTTGTGGCAGTGCAATGTTGCATGCTTTCGTCGACACCATTGCGGTGTTAGTGCTATCGTTTAACGCCAACGATATTTCTTCTGTGAGAGAGCCGTTTGTGCTTCCTTGATGCCGTTCTGCACTCGTTGTTAATGAAATTGTTTTATGGCAATTTTGGCAGTATTTGTTCTCGATGATGACGAAGCTTTGACTACTTCTGGGGATGCCCTGTTGAGGTAGGGTACTACTTAGTTCAGATAACGACACCCGGCAGTTATAGCCCTAGCACTCGTCCTATTGGCTTCTTAGAATATTCCTACTAACATTAAAGGACACATATGGTCTGTTTCTGTCAGATACTTGGAAGATTGTTCGACAGTTATTTGAAACAAACCTCATTCTGTTTAGATCACAAGAATACTATCAGCCGTGTGCAAAATCCTTTTTTAATTTGAAAGTGCTTTTTAAAACTGGTAGTTTTAAAAAGCGCTTTTAAGTTAAAAGAGGATCGATGTTGCATATGGCTATATATGTTTATAATAAAATAGAAAAGAGTGCTGGAACACCGCAAGCATTAAAATCTTACTTATTTTGCCTAACTTTATCAGGTAACTGATACATATATACAGGGTATAAAATTACAGGGATTCTCTTGAGCATTTTAGATAGTGTTCAGATATACACCAGAAGCTCCGGTACTTGAATAAAAACTACAGATGTTAAAAAATTACTAAAAACTCATTCAAATTTATATAACCATAATGAAGCTACTACTAAAAAATTACAACTTCATGAACTATCAATGATAAAACATGTTTTCTATTGGACTAGAAATATTAGCCTAGTCCAGTAAATAAGTGGACAGTGATGGTTTGACCCAAATTACTTATTCATCTGCACACTCTCCAGAATTAATGGCAAACAGAACCGACATGTAATCTATCATGACTTGCTGACGTTTGCTGATTGAGAGCCGATTCTCTATATAAACCCCTATGTTATGTAAATATTTATGTATACAACGTCCCTTTAAGTATATAAAATTATCCTTGAACTGTAGATGAATTTAATTACTTGCATTATTAAGCTATTCATCTTTATTCAAAAATTACATCAGCCCCTTTTTGAGGCCATCATCTCCTGCTATAACATTAAATCCTAGATAGAGCCCGTAGATAACAAAGTGCCTCGTAGCATTAATACGTTCCCATGTAAATCCAGTATTTTAAAGTTTTATGTCACAATTTGAATTTCCCTGATTAGAGAACATTTTGCGAGTGTTTTTATTTGGAAATTCTGAATTTTCATAAGCACAATAAGTGAAACCTACTGTATATAATAAGCCACAAAAGCACAAATCCATAAATATTTTTGCAATATAAATCTATCTTTGCAGAATTTCAACGCGTATCTTCAACGGAAAGGTCAGTTTTTGTAAGCCAGACTATTTTTTTCTAGTACCTACACTTTTTGCGTAACAATTAGCCTTTGATTTGCTTGAAAAATTAGAAATAAAATAAACGGGGCTTTATTATACACTCTGCTTTAAAAGCACCAAATACATTTTTTTTTGCACTTACGTTGCACAACAACAATTGTCTTTTTGAATCTGAATATGATGCGTCAAGAAAAAAGAGATGCTGGTCCAAATTATGTTTACACGACAAAATAAATTAAATATTGATTAAAGTTATTTTAGTTTAGTCTAGATAAATAATTATTAAAGAAACAATACAATGATGTGCCTTTGAAATTAACATAAGTAATGGTATAACAAGTTTTTTTTTTTTTTTTAAATATGAAATCAGTAAGCCAACAAAAGTATGCTATAAAAATATCTTGTTCCAGAAATATCATCATGTTGACGCACAGTGCGAGGTAAGTGACATTCTTTTTTTTTTCTAAACGAAATTTGTTCATATTTGGCATGTCGAAAAAGGATTTGTGTGTGTTTGTTATACTTTACTCTTTTTTCATTCTTTACTCTATTTTCTTGCCCCTCATAAATTTAGATGTGACTTGTTTTTTCGCTATAGATCATTTTATAAATGGAACACTTTTCACTACACAAATCCCTAGCTTCTAGAAATTGATTTATTATTAACAAGAAAACTGAAGAGTTTTATGTATTTTAAATTACCTTGCAATAATTTTTAATCAGAGAGATTTTAGGCCAGGACTATCCTTGAAACTCCCCTTTAAAATTTTTAACGATGAGGGTTTCCATTATTTACGTTAATTAATCCTCCAAAAGAAGAAGAATAGAATTTATTGAATCAAAATTTATCAGGATTTAGACATATCTATCAATCTCCCTATAAACATTGTTCAGTTTTGTCTACTCGCCCTGTATATAGTTGTAGGTTAAATTGGGTATTTGGGATGTCAAATCCTATTTGGGAATGGAAATTGATTCGTTTTTTTTTTCTTCTTTATTTTTTGTTTCTCTTATTCCAATTGAACTGCGTGGTTTATGCCTAAGAATTGATACGGCTTTGCTAAATTTGGCTTTTAAGAATCCGCGCGTTAAACACTGAAAAGGATACCGGAAAAGTTCTTAGATTGTCGACCAGTAAATCAGTCGCCAAAAACACGTCGCCCGCTTCATGTGATTCGAGAGAATAGACCTGCGGTTTTTTCGCTAGCCACGACCGGTTTCAATCAAGACGGTTTCGTTTGTACTCCTTCGCATTGGACTTGAACTTCCTGAAAGAGTCGGCCAGCTGAGTGGAGTTTGGAAGTAATGCTAGCAGGTGAAAAAATATCCTTTTCAATTTCGATATCTTTCAATTTCAATTCAAAATCTTTCATCGATTATCATTCTCTCTACCTATTAACACGTTCACTTTAGAAAATGATGTCCTTCGATGAGCAATTATTGGTAGGTACCTACCATATTATTTGGTTAAGCAATCAACCTCAACAGTGATTAGTGAAGAGCCCCATTTAGTAAGGCTGGCTTTGTAGATATACAAGGTACCTTAAGGCTGCAGTGCAAATCGGGACACGAGGACGCCTCACCTCGCACCGGAAATTAATTGTAAATTTGTATGTACTATTGAATATAATACAATAGATATTGCTGGCTTAAAATCTCTCTGATGTCTTCCACCAAAATAAATAGACAAATGAAACATTTAAGTAAAGATACACATTGTTCCTACCTACACCATTTATTTTCCAAATATTTACACGCATGACACAAACACACTAAACCTCATACCATTATCATTAGAGCTAGGACAAACAGTAGCAATTATTCAAACAGCTAGTTCTCCATTCCTATAGACCGAACTTATTTAGCTAAAGTCTTCTTTTTTCGATTTTTTTTAGTATGCCCGCCCCAAACAGGGGAAAAAAACGTGAACTAATGTATGTATGTGTAGTTGGCTGTGTCGCTCTGCTGATGTTGTACAAAATAAGATAGAAACGTTGGCGGTAGATAGAGTTTTATTGGTGTTTTAAAGTAGATTTATTATTAGGCAATAATATGTTCGAATAGAGAGTGACACAAATCAGGTTCGATTAATTAAAATAGAATTAAGAATTTAAAAAAATGTTTATAGAGTTCTTGAATAATTTAAATTAATATTTTTAATAAAATGTTTTTAAATTAGGTATAAATTACTTACGTAATCTTGATAAGTAATATGTATATACAAAAATTGTTATTAAATTTTTAGTTAGAAATATGTATATAAATTGTTCGTGATGCTTGTATTTTTTTTGAAATTTCGATTTTCTACATTTGGAGTGCAATCGTATAAAAGTTGAACAGTTTGTGGAACAAATCATTATTTATTGTACCAGTACAATTTAAACCCAATCTTCCTTACAACTTTAGTTCTATTGAACGAACACAGTTGGAATTGAAAAGCCACTATAAAATCTATGATAAATTAATTGGTCCAGAAACTGTGTAACTTCCCTTCTATTGACTAAAAGCTTTTCTAAGCTGAATACTTTTTGATACTGCATTGTTTCAAATTTTAAAATTTTATTTAAACAAAAGTTTTATCAAATTCATTTTTTCAAATATACCTACCTATGAAAACAGCTTCCGACCATATCCATTCCACATTAGAAAAACATAGTACAATGCACAAATATCATAAACTAACATTAAATTAGTTATTAAGTACGCCATAGTTATTACATTTTCAATAAAAACAGGGTAATTATCAAGACGTTGAAAAATATATCAAGTAAGTTGAAAGTTGTCAAACAAAAAGTTTACATAATATACAAAATAAGTAGGTAAGTAATCTGTTAATTCATAGACAATCTTTCCAAACTTAACAATGTTTAGGACAAAAAATCAGGTTTGAAGGAATTATTTAAAACCGAAAATGTTACATTTAGGTACAATTTATAATCTTAAGGATGTTCTTCCGTGATGAGTTGAGGTGAGAAAGTATATATTTGGAAAGCAATTGATGTCATGTAGCACTGAAGCCTGAAAAGGTTTATTGTGCTTAGCCTGCTTGCTTTGTTCCAATCACTCTAGTATTTTGGTGCCCTGTACAAGGTTGTATGGGACTTCTACTGGGTAGTGTTTCATTATTGTTTCCAGGACTACGGTTGGTTGCCTGAAAATGATGTGTCTTCTGCGATCCAGTATCTCGTAGTTTACTAGGATGTGTCTGGCTGTCTCAGGTTCCTTATTGAAGAGTCTGCAGTGAAGGTCTCCGTTATATAGGTTCATACTGTTCAGGTGAAAAATTCAACTCAAAAGTCGGAAGGTGACTGATTAGAGAGAGAAAATTTTGATAACAAATCACCAGATCTGTCAAGTAAGAGGGTGAGGCATTAGATCACTTATAATCACTAAGAAACTACGAGATAAACTAACTATTGCAAACGGTTGATGCATGGATCGCTACTGCTAACTTGAACATAAAAGGACTCAAGATAACAGTCATCGGTATATGGTCAGAACAAAGATTCTTTAGCTCTAAAAATGACCAGGAGTTTTAAAAGATGCTTTTGCTGACCAACGAGAATCCAACTTTTTGGGCGACTTCAATGCTCGACTTAAAAGAGGGTAGGAGAAATCTACGCATTATTCAATTATCATGAATCGAATAAGCCCTAATCCAAGGGACATCGAGTCGTAGGTATTTTATGGATACTTAGACATATTGTAGAATCTTCTGCTGAGATTGCTGACTTACCTGATCATGAAAAAGCTGATTATCAGTAATTTCAAGATAATAAATAAAAATAATGAAGTAGCTGTCAAGAATAATAGCGACAAGAAAAAGGAAACTGATGATGTTGCACCAGTACCTACCAAAGAAGCTAAAAGGTAATCTGAAGAAGTTGAAATAGAAGACGTGCAAAATAAAAGAGGAAAAAGGAAATGTCTAAAGGTGAAAAATCAAAAATGTCGCCCAAAGAATTTCCTTTTAAATCATAAGTTGAAGCTTATATTCGAATTATTCTGTGATATCGAAGTAAGTAGTGAAAAGACTGAGGAAGTCGAGGAGATTATGATATATCAGGAAAAGCTGACACAGAAACCAATAAAGATGTATGAAACCAAGAAGAAACCCTCAAAGAAAGGATAGATGAGGAATGAGAAATGATCATCAGTGAAGGAAGAGAGAAATGAAAAATTACTGAGGAAGTTTCACAAGTAACAGAACCAACTGAAGAGAATACTGGCATTTATATCCAAAGCATGGATGCAACACTTCTCCTAAGGAGCGATAGCCGCCAAGTTTTCATCCCAGGTTTTGTCGTTTCCTTTAGAAATATAAGATCGAATCATTCTTTTTAGAACGCGATTGACTCGTTCTGGGGGATTGGCTCTAGGGTAGTAGGAAGGAGTAGGTATAGAAAATTCTGGTTTTATAAGACTCACAAAAAGTTTGAAATTCCAAGACGCTGTCCCACAAAATCTCCTAATTTCGTGAACGTTCGTTGGAGGAAGTATGTTGACAATCGCCTCAACCTTTGCAGGGTTCGGGCGCAATCCTTTGGCGTCGACCACATAACCTAGATATTCAAGTTGTGGTTTGCAAAAATGACATTTCTTTTTAGAGATCATAAGTCCAGCATCTTTTAGTCTGTCAAATACAATGGCAAGAATTCTTAGATGATTCGAGAAGTTTCTGGATATGACGATTATATCGTCGAGGTAGACCATAACATGCTCGGCCAAATCATAACCAAAAACGCTATCCACAATTCTCTGCCAAGTGGCTGGAGCGTTATTCAACCCAAAAGGCATACGGGTGAATTGGTATAATGGGCGTCCTGGAACCGTAAAGGCTGTGTACTCTTTCGATTTTTCAGTTAGAGGCACCTTCCAAAAGGCTGACTTTATATCCACAGAACTGATGTAACGAGCATCTCTAAGGCGGTCCAGGATTGATGAAATGTATGGCAAAGGGTACGCGTCTTTTTTTGTTACGGCATTTAGCTTTCTAAAATCTATTCAAAAGCGATAGGAGCCATCTTTCTTAGTTGCCAAGCAAACCGGGCTGGACCAAGGGCTTTTGGATAGGTCAATCACTCCTAAACGCAATATTTCTTGTAGTTCGTCATCCATTATCTTCTGTTTCATCGGAGATACTGGGTAGTAACTCTGCTTAATGGGTTTCGTACCAGGCAACAGTTCTGTTTCGTGTTCCGCAACGTTGCAACGACCAAGCACTTCAGGCATCGCGGAAATTTTTCGCTCAACTAAGCTATCCAAAGCCAGTCGCTGCTCTGGTGTCAGAGTGGTTTCATCCTGAACACTACAGACCTGTGCGTCAAACTCGTCGGAAAAATGCCACATATCTTGCTTTAGGTCCGGAACCAACTCCATGGATTTCCTAAAATCTATTCCGAGGATTAAGCGATGGGATAGTACAGGTAGGACCAGGATGTCAATAATTTTGGTTCTATGCATCAAGGTGATGGGAACTTGAAAATAGCCAGTACTGGTGCAACTTCGTCCGTTTGCCAACGTACAACTCATATTATGTTTTAACATTTGAAGGCCTAAGCTTTTTAAAACCTCAAAGCCTGGCAACCCAACAATTGTGCGCGAAGCACCGGAATCAAGCAAGCCTAGCATTTTTTATCCCAAGATAGAAATTTCCAAATATGGTCTTTGATCACCGTGGGCATGACCAATGATATAATCCAAAATTATCGTTTAAAAAAAATCTGTAGAAACGACCGATAAATCAAGAATGGGAGAGATCTCACGGTCTATTGACCCTTCCTTGTGCCGTTTCCCGAACATTTTGGGCACGACCTAATCGTGACATTAGGAGCTCCACATCTGTAGCAATGAGTCCTTTTTGGTTTTGTGCATTCTCGGTTCATATGTCCGGTCTCCTGGCAATTCCAGCAGGTTAGCGTTGAGACGCAACCAGATGGTGGACGATAATGTTGAGAACTGATGACGGCAGATGTTTCCAGCTCAATATCAGCTGTAGAAGAGATTGATACAAAGGCGAAGTCCGGTTCCACGAATTTTGTTCTTCTTTCTTGACGTCGGTAAATAATGATCGACTCTATATTTCTTCGTTTCCAGTTTTAAGCACTCGTTCTCCAATTCCTCTATTGAGGCTTACGACGGGAAGCTGAGTTCCATAAAATGGAGCCAAATTCAGTTCTTTATAACGATATCTAGCTGTACGTCGACCGGAATACCTCCATACCTTCTGAAAAGTCCACTCATATCAGACAAGTAACTAACTATGGATTCTAAGGAATCTTGGGTACCTACGATCCATTATTTGTTTAAATAGTCTTGTTTTGTAATCCGGTTCCTCGAAATGTTTCCTCAACAAATCACACAACTCGTTCCATGTTCCGAATCTATGACAGTTGGATCTGTACCATTCTTTGGCCTTGGAGTCAAACAAATCTATTGCCGATTCAAAAAGTTGCTTTTCCGAAACATTCCTTGCTCTTCTAAGCTGGTTAACTCGTTCTAGACAACTGTGCACGGATATTAATTTTGTGTTTCCCGTAAATTTGATTCCCCACTTTTCTACCTGTTGAGGTTTAGCATATGTCGGTGCCTGTGTATTTGTGTTAGATGTCGACGCTATGGCGGGAGAAGTATTAAAACTATTAGGCGACGAAGTATTTGCGGCGGTTGCGTGTCTAGCCGGTCGAGATACAACAGAAACATTGTCATCATCCGGTTTGCTTCAACATAAAGCTCAAATTGGGATCTTGTTTAGTACTAATGTATCTAAGGCATTAAGAATTTCCATGAGCAGATTTGCTTTTAGCTTAACTTGTTCACTGGTCAGTTGATCGTTGGGCAGAAGATCCACTCTATGAAGGCAATGCACCAATCTTGATTGTAAACGTTCAAATTTTATTTTGGCCTTGGAACCAGTGAAAGAATTCATGAGAGTTGTAATCTCTGTTACACAATCTTGTATATACTTAGTTTCGTCGTCAAAAACGAAAGTATAATCTGGGTAGCTCAATGAATGGTTCCTTCTCTCCAATCTTATCAAAGGCCTTAGCGCTGCTTTCATTTTCTCCATTGTCGAAGTTTCATCCACGGGAATGCCCCTTAGCTTCAATTTCCATAGCAATTCAGGCTTTCTCAAATAACCGATAGTAGATACAAGCTCTAGATAAAATAAAGTCCAAATCCAACAATACGAAATAAGCCTTAAGTTAGGCAAAAAGATTAAATGTATAAAAACGTAAAGAACTTTAATTCGTATAAAAAAGGCGCACATAACTATTCACTATGCCCAGTGGTGTGTAGAGATTTTTTTTTTTTCAATTGACAGTAAATTCTATTCTTTGTTAAATAGAATGAGAAAGCGAACTGTTTAAATTTAATTTCAAAATATTCAAAAACAAGCGAAATAGTTACTGCGCAATCGTGAGACTTCAAATCTTAATTGACTCGGAACAAATGATCAATTAAAATCAAGCTAGGAAATTTAATAATAGTTTCAAGCAATGCAATAATAATATCGCCCCACGTTGGGCGCCAAATTGCCACGCCCAAAAAATTATTACGTAAATCGTATTCCTTTAATCAAAAGCAAAATAAGTATCAAATAATTAAACTCGGTAAGGTAGAAGTTGCTCAAACTTTGTAATGGCAAAAATGAAATGTTACAAACTTCACCTTGGTAACACTGGAAGCAGGATCGCTCAAATATGTTCCTGCTTGTGTTGCTATGGTCCTGCTTCATCCTACTTTAAATCGTACCCCGGCAATACGGACTATTTTCGAGATACAGGGATTTTCATTATGGTTCGTAACTTCACCCTTGGCTTGGGAACACATTGGAAGCAGGATCGCTCAAACATGTTCCTGCTTGTGTTACTATGGTCCTGCCTCATCTTGCTTTAAATCATACCCCGGCAACATCTAATTTTTATGAGATACACACTGGTAGCATTTCAAGAGTCTAGTCGTAGGAATAGGGAAATTTCGAGAAACCGTTGTCAAATATATCGTAATGAGTGCTTGTCTCTGTATGTTGGTTTTTTTAGATGAAAAGAGCTAATCCACATCAACCCGTCGCTCTGTAATGAATGCAAGCTTCTGTATCTCGGTATTTTAGATGAAAAGAGCTAATCCAAGGATTAAATTGGAACTAACCCGTCCTGGGATAGGTGGCCTCTCTGCACTTCCGTAGGGTTTTTATTTTTATTTTTTTCGTAAAAATTATTCGTTTTAATTCAATCCTTGGATTACCTAACTCTTTTCGTTTAAAATACCACCATACAAAGACTAGCATACATTACGAAGACGGGTTAGTTTGGATTAGCTCTTTTTGTCTAAAATACCAGCATACAAAGACTAGCAATTAGTATGAGAACGGGTTAGTTTGGGTTAATTTAGATAAGCACTTTTCGCGTTTAAAATACCAACATAGACTAGTATTCATTACAAAAGGACGGGTTAGTTTGAATTAGCTCTTTTTGTCTAAAATACCAACATGCAAAGACTAACGTCCATTACAAAAGGACGGGTTAGTTTGGATTAGCTCTATTCTTCTAACAAAGACTAGCACTTAGTATGATGACGGGTTTTCTTTGGAATAGTTCCTTTCGTCTAAAATCAACATACAAAAACTAGCATTAGTATGAGGATGAGTTAGCTTGGATCAGCTCTTCTCGTCTAAAATCCCAGCATACAGAGACTAGCATTCATTACAAAAGTACGGGTTAGTCTGAGTTAGTTTGGATTAGATCTTTTCGTCGAAAAAACCAACATACAGAGACAAGCACTCATTACGATCCATTTGGCAACGGTGTCTCGAGCTCGCCGTATTCCTACGACTAGACTCTTGTAATGCTACCAGTGTGTATCTCAAAATGTTAGGTATTGCTGGGGTAATTGAAGCTGTTTGAGGCAGGATCATAGCAACGCAAGCGTGAACAATTTGGATCCCACTTCCCATGTGTTGCTAAGCCAAGGGTGGAGTTACCAACCATATTGGAAATCCCTATATCTCGGAAATAGTAAGTGTGGCCGGGGTATGATTTAAAGCAGATTGAGGCGAGTTGCCAGGGACAGATTTGGAGCAGGATCAGGCAGGACCATAATAGCACAAGCAGGATCCTATTTCAACGATCCTGCTTCCAGTGTATTGCCAAAGGTGAAGTTAGCAACCAAAATGGAAATCGCTATATTTCGAAAACGATGGGTGTTGCTGGGTTGCGGTTTGAAGCAGAAAAAAGCAGTAATATAGCAGCACAAGCAGAGGTGCATTTTAAAGATCCTGCTCCCAATGTGTTGTCAACTTCCCCGACGTTTCTGTCAATAATACTACGACAAAACAATTTGCTGATAACGGAGGAATAATGGAAAAAACAAAAATGAAAGACGGTGTTTAACAAAAACAACTCTTGCATAAGACTCATAGGGCGTCAGAGCAGCAATTTTCCAGACTAGCCGCGGATGCTACAATTATAGCATATTCACAGTTGTTCGCAAATGGCTTTACGAAGAACATCCTTAACCTTAACTATGAAAGAAAATGATATTCATATTTGCGTCCAGCATCCAGCATTGCAACATTGATATAGCTAGGTAATTGAGAATTATTAATTCCAAAATATATATACGTAAATATTAAAATATTTTACCAAATAAATAAAAAATATGTACCTATCTATATACAAAAGATGATTTGTGTCACTCCGTTATACTATAAAGTGTATTATGTAGATCGAAACTTTATCTAGCGTGTGAAATTGTATTTAAGATAAATTTAATATTGCCTATATAATACCCGAATTTTATCCCATCTTCCTGACAATAATTTTCCGATTTTAAACCCTCACAATTTTTATTTCGGATTGATTTACATATTTTTCTGTATAACGTGCCTAACTTTTGAAATAAAATATTTTCGGCAAATATTTTTAGTTTTTGTTTTATAGCTTTTTACCTTTTTTTCACTTTCACATTCTTTGCTTATATTTATAACATTTATCATTGATTTTGATTAAGGCCCAGTTTATCAATATAAACCTGCAAACTATGAATTATTTTTCCCTACAAGTTAATCGCTAAATATATTATCGGCCTTAACTTAATCAGAAACACATATCGCATCTTTCTATTTCAATTAATCATAAAAAAATTTCACATATACTCTGTTCACATTCTTTTACTGTTGGTTTTGAAGTAATATTGCTTATCAATGGAAAAATTTGCTTGGTCTTAAGTCCAAGTACAATACATTACTAGAGATGTTTTTTAAAAAACACTTACTATAAATACTTAGAGAAAATGAACACATTTTCTCTAATAACACTAATTGTTATGTACAATGTCAATAGGTACCTATATGTATTATATGGCCACCTAAGTATTCTAAAAAAGAAAGTGAATGGATCAGATGCCTTACTCATGCAATCATTCTCTCACTATCTCTCTAACATAAACTCTATCTCTCTGTCCTCTTTTCTCTGTATCACACGTGTGACTGTGGCTCTCTCTCTATGTGTATTAATCACGTCACGTGTCGAAGACCGTCTTTCTCCAAACGAGGGGCTCAGCAAGCGGCCAATGAAGAGCGACCATCACGACGTGACGTGACCACTGTCATAATCAGGCACTAGTGTGTGTACGCTGTATTTAACCGTGAGTGTTGTTTTATGTTGTGACGATTGTTAGGTTTTCGTGAATTTTTTGTGTATGGAGCTTTTATTGTGAATTTTTTGCATTTTTTTGGGTGTTACATAAATTTTGTCTGTCGTTTTAATAATAATTAATTTATTAAATACATGGTCATATGTGATATCACATCAGTTGATTCATTATGACAGAGTGAAAAAGACAAAATTTATATTTTTTTTAGATTTTTTTGTAGTTTATTACTGAATTATACCAAATTTTTATACCTATTTTTAAACTTTAAATTGTTTAGCTTATCTATTGCATGTGTAAATGTTTTTTTTTGTATTTTATCCTAATTTGAAATAAAATGAAGGGTTTTGTTCTACCATTGCGATAATTTAAGCAATGGTTTTGTAGTACTTACCAACTAAATAATGAGAGAAAATTAATTTTCAATTGACACACTTAGAGTATGTATGACACACATTTTATTTCTATAACTATTTATTGTCGTTTATGAAAACTTTCGATGCCCATCCTTGCATAATGTATATATGAAGTTATATTACCTTAGTTTTTTAATCAATATTTCTTATAGGGATTTGTAGATAACAGATCAAATGCACTATTTCTAAACCATGAATCACTCAAATTAAGCTCAAGTGTTCAGTGTTCACAAAACTGTATAACTGATCAACTTGATTCTCCAAGAATCGACTGGTTGAACTCACTGTCTTATTCACAACACTCACTCTGGCATGTTCTACTCCTTTTATTTGCAATTTTCATATACTTAATTCCTTTGAGGAATTGAGTATGAAGATCAATTCTCGAAACTTAAGTGGGCAATGGGTGGTTAGTGAAAAATATGGTAAATTATATCACCCCAACAAAACTTGGTAGGCAATTCGTGTCTGTTTTTTCAAATTATTATGCCTAAAACGTTTCTAAAGAAAAATGGGGAGTTTTCTTGAGACCCCTCTCACCCATACTTCAATGTAACAAGCTTTTCAAACTCATTAGCAATTTTGAACTACCAACAATTATTTTATTTTTTTTAACCAGCAAATCAGCAAGAAGTCTATTTTTTCATGGAGAAAACCTTTTAACATCTGGTAAATGAAGAAAGCTTTCCAGCATAATTGTTTTTTTTTTGTTAATGCCGCAGCAATACACTGGATACGACCTATAAAAAATTCAAAAGCAACCATATCCCAAAGATAAAAGGAAATAGGACCGAAGAGGCGCATTCTCTTTACGAAATTGAGACATAAAAATAAAACCCGTATGATGCTAAGCTTTGTATCATCTTTGGGCCATGAAATTTTTAATATTGAGTCTGTCAGTGGCGTGGCGGCTCCTCAATAAGCTTTTCTGCTCAGATATTTCAATTATTATTACTTTTACAAATCAGTTACTTAACTGTAATAAAATTTGCATTTATTTTGAGACTATACTATGAATGATTTCATCGCGCTGCAGCGTTCACGAACCAAAAACATCCTTTACATTATGAGATTTCTATTACCGCTAATCATAGATTTTCATGGATGTGTAACTTAAATTATTAATTTAATGAGTACTTACCGATACAGTGTCAAAGTATTCAAGGAAGCACACCTTAAATAAATATCACCAGCACCTACCTATTGAGTAGCTCTTCTGAAATTCTCACATTTATGTAAAATCTGTTTTTTTTTTAAAGATAATTCCCCAAGTCAAAAATTTAGTAACTATGTTGGCAACACAAGCCTTTTCTACATGAAAAATTTGGAAGCATTGACAAGTTTACATTGTATTGCCAACCTAAGGTCAGTTTGACTTTTATCTTTAAAAAAAAAACGCACTTTACCTACCTTTTTGGAAGTTGCACTTACATAAAGAAACAGTACCGCACATTCCATATGACCTAAAATCCCAAAATAACTTCTTTTCTAATAGTTGTTATCCTTTTAGATGGAGTAGACGTAGTCGTCATGGTGTCCAAGGGGTCCATCGTCGGGACGCCATCGACTACAGGACCGGCTACATAAGATCGCACCTGCGTTCGCCTTCGGGTAGGGTCAGGTGATCCAGCCACAGTCCGGCCATTGCCAGGTCGCAAAAAAACTCCTTGACGATTCCGGAGACCACCGGTCGATCCAGTTTGCCGGAAAACTTGTTAGGATACTTTGTTGAATATGTATAAATTGAGTTTGTAGCCGAATATGGGCGATTACCTTTAGGGAAAAATTACAATAATAATAGGCATTTTTTTAGTGAAGTTGATGGTTGAAATATCATAAGAGCTTATATGTAAGATTTGGGTTAAAGTCATTGTTTTATTTTCGTTCCAATCAGCTCTATGAACTAGTTAGACAAGACAAGACATAAACCGGGTGCCACTGCACTTCTTATCCTGATAAAAATCGATAGACACGTATTCCGCTTCTAACGTTGATGAATCCTTTTTACAAAGTTTGGCCGTTTTATGCAGAATTTAGTTTGGATCCTTCTTATATTAGTTCCTTTATTTAATTTCCTTGTTTGTGAAAGTGCATGCATACATGTAAACATCCGTCTATAGGTATGAACTAACCCAAACTAAGTTGAGTTTAGTTTTACAGTCGATTTGGTAGGATTTGCTCATCATGTCGTTTTTTTGTACTTGCAAACCAATGTTCAGCTGTTGCATTGAATTCTTATAATTGTAATTGTAAAATGTCTCTATTCGATTAACTTTTTATTATTTTTAAGTCAAATTATTATATTTACATTTTATTCCATTTCCTACTTGTACGCCGATGCCTCACGCTTATTTGACTTATCTGCATCACATAGATTTTATGGATTTTATGGTGGTTGGACGCTTATATTGAAATACTGGATGATGTTTCTTCTATTTTATAAAAATTAAAAATGTTGAGCAAATTTTCTCTCCTCTGTCTTTTATGTAGGTGCCTGGTTTGGTCATGTCTGTCATAAAAGTAAAGAAAGATTAATTCTAAAATCGTTGACAACAATAATTGTACAATTTCTGCTAACTTATAGCCTTTTCAGTACTTTTTAATGCCAATTTTTGATAGATTGTTTCGATTGGTTCTACAACTGATTAGCTGATTTGGTTCCAAATCAAGTCTCATATCACTTGATAGCTCCAAAGTTTGTTTGCTATTGTAAAAGGATGTTATCAGTTGATATTTTATGTCTAATGTATTTTTTATTATGACTTTTTTCATTATTTATATTTTTTATAGTTTTTTTTGTACGTAGTATGGGGTATGGTTTAAGCATACCACTTTTAACAAGAACCTTGGGACTTCTTTATTACAGCATAATTTTTTAAAGCATAATGATTTTTTGGAGAAACGAGAGGCCTTAATATAATTTGAAAAAAAAAAAAAAAAAATTCATAAAAGCAATTTCGTAGGTTATTTAAAACAGAGAGAGTAGCTTTTCTCTTCTAGGTCTATGTACTATTTCAGAATTTTAGACTGCAATTTTTAATGAAAAGGTCCTTTCCTCTAAGTAGGTACCTATTATCCCAGACAGCACTCGAACTTCGAAGTCTTAAAGACGTCTTTTTTAGGTCTGCATTTAACATCTGAACGTCTGAAGACCAAAAAAGGACGTCTAGAAGTGAATAATGGTTTATGTACCTATTGAAAAGAGATTCCAAGACTTCCTTAAGATATCTCGTTGAAGACGTCTTTAGAATATCTTAGTCCTAAAGACGTTTTTAGGCAGACGTCTGAAAAACCTTGGGTTTTGTAACATACGACGTCTTCAAGATGTCTTTAGGACACGCCTTAAAGACGTAAGCAAAACGTCTTGAATGTCGTTTGTGGACATCTTGAGGACGTCTTTAAGATTCCCACAGAATTCGTTTCTCATTCAATTAAGAAGTTACTGGAAACCATTCAGAATGCTTACATAACACTTTAGACCTTTTTAATAAGCATCCAAAACAGTTCAAATCCAAATCCGAATTTTCAGGAGCATTTTAGAATAATTGAGAAACTTCAAAGCTATTATAGAACAATACGGATTCAATTTAGAACTAGAAACCTTTTAGAAAACTTTTGAACCAATTTAAAACACTTAGGAGCTTCAATGTGGCTCTAAATATACTTCTCAAAAATCTTTCAGGACATTTTAGAAATCACTGAAAAACTTCTAGAATGCTCCAGAACTCTTTTAAGACAAGTTAGAACACTTTAGAAATTCACTAGCCATTTAGAACGTTTCAATAACACTTTCCAGCGGCATTCATAGAACAATTTAAAAACCTCAGAATTAGTTCAGAGAACCTATAGCGCCTGGAATAGGCAAAAAATTAGAAGTTATAAAATGAGTAATAATAAGGAAATATTAGCAAGAAAATGTTTCTCTTTCAATTTAAATTCTTGAATTTTTATAATTTTTCCTTTTCCAGGCTCTTGATTTTTTCTTATTTCTGTAGGTATTCTAAATTCTGAATTTTCTTTTGGCTCTTAAATGTTTTCATTCCAAGTTCTTGAATTCTCTTTATGAATTTTATATGCCTACCGAGGTACCTACCTATGTTTTCATATAAAAGAAATCAAGAATTTGAGAACGTAGCGCCTGGAATAGACGAAAATTGAAAGTTATAAAATGGGCAAGAATAATGAAATATAAGTTCAGAAGTCTTGACATCTAAAAATATGACTTAAGGACGTCTTTATGATGTCTGTGTGTGTGTCTGTGTGCTGTCTGGGGTGAGACCAATACCCAAAATAGAGGTCACATATCGAAACATAGGGCGCTTTCTTTTATTCAGCGGTGGATCCATCAGTAATCAGCCTTTCTTTGTCTAGCTCATAGAAAATAGGAATGTCTGTCTTATTATGATGGCAGCAGATGGATGCATTGCTGAATAAAAGAACGCGCCCATAATGAATAGGAATCATGGTGTCTATTAATGAAGTCAAATATTTAATTGGTTTCTGTTCGACAAATTAAATCCACATTATTCGCTACCTAATTTGTTTGGTATAGGGACACAAATATTATTCCATATCTAATACATAAAACATATCAATGGACTATTGAAAATTTCATCTTTTATATGACACCTTATATCTAAAAATCCTTAGAAAATTGGATTTTGTGCCAAAATTTAAACAATTTTATACTCTTATTAAAGCCATAAGATCAAACCTTTTAATAAAATACCTCACGAAACAAAGCAAAGAGAAACCTCCGAGCAAAGACAATTTAACGACATTTTTCTCAAGAATAAGATAAAAAAATATTGCACTTTTATTTATAGGTAAGTATGCATCGGATTCGCACATTTAATGATACAAGGCGGCTTAAGTAATTCAACTTAAGTAATTCCCCAATCCAAAATACACTAGTGGTTGTTCTAGTCTTCTGTATGCTACTATACAGTGTCCGGAAATAAATGCAGCAAAATTTGTTCAGACTCTTAAAAAAAAATAGGAGAACCCTATTTTTTATTTTTAGTAAATGGCCCCCTTTCGGAAGAACAGCCCCTAAAAATTCGCCCCTAAGCTAAGGAATAATATATATTTTTTTTTCATTTCTCACAGCCCTGTTATACGAGAATCATACTATTTTTGGAACACAGTAGGAGTTTTATGACTTGAAGACTTGGATAGTGCTAGGTACGCTTTTAGACGGAGGACTCCCTTAAAGGACACTTCTTCGTGGGGCCCCCCTATCTTTGGAACCTCATAACTATGGCTGCGTATTTGAATTTCTCAAAAAATATTATTCAGTTAGAAGGCCCATTCAATTTGGAAATCTTTTTGTCTCCTGAATTTTTCTTGTTAAACAAATTGTTTTTGAGAAAAATGGCGAAAAATGATCGATTGTGATTCTAGTACAACAGGGTTGTGCGAAATGAAAAAAAAAATATATGTTCTTAGGCGCGATTTTTAGGGGGCTGTAACTTTCGAAGGGGGAACCAAAAGATAAAAAATACAGATTAGGTATAATCTTTGAATAAATTTTGTTGCGATTTATTTCCGGATACCCTCTTTATTAAAGGCTGGATTTTTTTACACCATGTAACCCATATGGACATCTATTAACAATTTGGCCCTTTTAGAACTATAAATGTTACCACAATGTTACCCCATCAATTTGAACCGTAGATTTAAAACGTTTTTAATTACCCACGCGTTTTATAAAAAATTCAGCTAGTAAATAGTAAACGTTTGTTGTTTGTATAGTTGATTATTAATGTTAATTTTGTATTCCTAGAAAAAAAAAGGTATAAAAATGTATAAAACAATAATTTAAAGATATTTTATTACACAATACAGCAAAGGAGTTATTGCCCTAAAATAAATAGACCATAGATATTATCCATTCACAATCCAATGTCCATAGGTACAGGTTAAATTTATCACTTTTCAATGCTATGTGATAGGGAAAGGTGATAAATTTACCTGTACCTACCTGTAGACATCGGATTGTGAACAGGATATACCTATGTAACTTTAATATGCGCTATTTTTCAAATAAAAAGAGAATGGTTGAGAAGAAATATGTAAAACTTCAAAAAGAGAATAGCTAGGTGCAATGCAACAATTTTAGCCTCTAGTAACGCATACAATTTAAGTTTTAACAACGGTTCTAAATATCGAGCTGTTCTAAATTATGAAAAGCTTGTGCGTAGTGCCTGTGTGCCTGCTCTAAAAGTAGTGCGAACTACTATTTAGTAGTTTCGAAATTCATTCATTTTATTTTAATTTATCCGCTTGTAGGTGTACTAATGGTGACGTCACTTTTTCACGACTATATGTAATTTGACAAACTCTCCTCTCAGCTGATTGCCTTGATAAAACTATCCTTGGATAAAACTTTAGTTCTTTTCACGTGGCTCCGGTTTAACTAGCCGGGTTACAAAACGGTTAGAGAAGTGACATACCGTTTTCTAACCCGGTTACAAAGTGACGTGTGACATGCGCTTGTAGAGGTGTATTGATGGTGACATCACTTTTTCACGACTATGTAATTTGACGAACTCTCCTCTCAGTTATTATTGCCTTGATAAAACTATCCTTGAATAAAACTTTATAAAATCTGTTTTTTTTTTAAAGATAATTCCCCAAGTCAAAAATTTAGTAACTATGTTGGCAACACAAGCCTTTTCTAGATGAAAAATTTGAAAGCATTGACAATTTTACATTGTATTGCCAACCTAATGTCAGTTTGACTTTTATCTTTAAAAAAAAAACGCACTTTACATATTGGTTTTTTTTTGGAGCTAACCATATGAAGTGATTAGTTACTCCGCTTATCTCTCTCTACCTTTTAAGTTTTAACTCAAGAAGTGACAGCTATAAGAAGTGCTTATCCCAGGACAATACACACTGGAGTGCTTATCGCCCTCGTTTTTGGTAATCGCCGCCATATTGGTGTGCCACCATTGCCGACGTCATAAGTAAATCGTCAGCTGTTTAAACAGCCTAGAGGCGTTTACTCGCGGGGCGAATGGTTCGAACTACGGTTTAAACCAATTTCACGATGACGTCATCACTTGTGACCGCGAGAAAATGAAAGGTTTGAACCACAGTTTTATGTCAACGGAGAACAAGCCATGAGGCGGTTCGAACTTTTTTGAACCAGGTTCAATGTGACGTCACTGGTTCAACGCAAGAATGTACAGGTTCGAACCTAATTGAACCGGGTCGAACCAGTTCCACCGCGAGAAAACAGCTCAAGTCAAGGTGAGAAATAACATGCTGCCTCTACATCACAACAGGGCTGGGATTACGTCAAGTAGGATTCTACTTTCATGGACGTCATGTTGCCTAGCAACCGTCATCATCGCCTGTACTGTACGTGATAAATAGGTCGCGAGTGACGTCATAAAAGTAGAATTCTACTTGTCGTGAAGTCGTGATCCCAGCCCTGGTATTTTGGCGCGGGAGGTTACACACAGGCCTTATGAGGATAGGTCATCCTGTAGAAGCAGTGTGTATCGATACCATTTTCGACGTCATAACTAATACCTTGCATTTGGTATTTTGCTCAAAGAGCAGAGCGTGCTGAGCAGAGCCGTAATGACGTGACCAGCGAGCGAACAGAGTAGTTGAACGCTGTGTCCGAGTGCCTGAAATTTTATTTAACGAACGCAAATGAGCCTGCACCGAGTACACTTTTTAAATAAACGAACGGTAAATTCAAGCTCGGAGAACTCAGATCAAAATATCGAACGCACGGAACTACGTCAAGTCGAGAAATAACATGCTGCCTACAGCCGGCGTCTCGCATCCGTTTTCCCACGTCCGATATCCAATGCGACAAACCTTCTATTCTGACATATTTGTATACGATTATGTCAGAATTGAAGCTTTTTCGGATATCGGACGACGGAAAACGGATGCATGAGACTCCTACTTACGTCACAAATGATTTTGGCTTGGGGGGGAAGGTTAGGATTTGTTACACACAGGTCTTATGAGGATAGGCTGTGGGATAGGCCATCCTGGATGTAGTAATAGTGTGTGTCATCCTTGACTGCAAACCACCCCAAACACCAAGAGCTGCTTTCCAGTGCCTAAATGTTAGAGTATCGTGCTCCTGGAGTGTGACGCTCTTGAACTGTTCGACATAAGCAGCACTGGAACGCTCTCGTCTCAAGCCTCACCATTTCGGACTTCAGGAGCATGGAACACCGAAATAAAGGTTGATGCACGAGAGGGCAGGGTATAACAGAAATGAGTAGTTCAAGTATACGATACTCTAAGCACTGGAACGCCCAAAGCAATTGTGGAGCACTCCTGAGCTGCTGAGGAGTAACTCAAATGGGTCACTGGAAAGCACCTAAAGGATTGCTTATCGGCCTCGTTTTTGGTAATTGCCGCCATATTGGTGTGTAACCATTTCCGACGTCATAACTAAAGGCACTTTCCAAAATTCACCAGTTTCTGAACCGGTGCGATACCGGTTTGATAGTTTACTCACCAAACCGTTCCAATTTGTACCGACGTTTTACCGGTTGAATCAGATCGTCCGTTCCAAAATTGACTGGAATGATCAGTGCAACACAACCGTCACAACCATAGACAATAAAAAATAAAAAGACCTTCAAAAGTATAGCCCAAATAGGTTATACTATTACTGCGCATCCGGTTGCGCATAGCGCATTGCGGAATTTTTGGAAAGCTAGAGACTTGCGAAAGATCAGTCCGATCATTCGATTCTGTTTCATCTTTCTCTGTCATACCAATTCACAAGACAAGGACACCGTAGGAGTTACAGAGCTTTCCTAGCTGTTTTGTAGAAACCTATCAAACATCCATAACTATAGAAACTGTGACCGAGAAAACAAATAAGTAACCTTAAAATAACGACATTTCCGTGTTGAAATTTGTCATTTTTAATCGATTGGGCGGTCGTCTAAGAAGACTCGAACTCACAAAATCTAAAGAACAAGAAGAAGAAATTGTTATTTTTATTAAGGCACTCGGTATCGCGTACCTATAATATTATGTACAACTAGGATAAACTGAACCAGTAGATATACATGTTAGTTTTGTGATATATGGCATATTTTTTTACTGTTTTAGGAGACCTCAGTCAGAAGAGATAAAATGTAGATGTTAGGCCTTGGCCAGCTTAGCTTCTACATACATTAAAGCATGTATAAGGGATGTGATAACTGTGTTTGTAAACTCTTTAGGTATTTGACCTATCTAGCTATAATATATATTTTTTCTAGTACAATTTTAGTGTTTATTTTGCCTTTTTTCCAATCTACATCAAAAAATGGCACAAAACTTTATGGAGTACCACATCATTTTTCTCATTCGGATTTTAGAAAAAAAGATGTGGAACAACATTATAAGTAAGTTTTTTGTGCAATCAACCCAAGTCAAATTTCAAAATGCCCGCCATTTCAGTATTTGTTCCGGCTGCCACTATTGACGCCACCGTCGCTGTGACGTCAGCGCTATACAAACTTTCATGTTATCAATCAGGTACTCTTACCTTGGTTTATATTATATTTCTCTATGGTCACAACCAAACTTGAACTTACCAACGCGTTCCAAAATGCATCAGAAAAACCTTCTAACCGGACTACCAAACTTTTACCGGAACTTTTTGACAGCTACCGGTTTATTCATCCGGGCTGCGTTCAGGAATGGCTACAGCCAAGCCAAAATTGGCTTTTTGCGTTCGAATTCGGCTCCAACCTACGTTGTTCGGCATTACAAGCGGAGGGGGAAAAGTAGGTTTTGGCATTAGCATTGCCGTCCTTGAACGCACCCCCAGTCAATTTATCGGTGAAATTTGGAAAGTGCCCTAAGAGTCGAATCTATACTCGCTCCTTGAGGTTTCCTTAGACCTTAGAAGCCTTGAACGTATAGAAATGACATGACGAACTTGTCAAATAGTAGCAAGTGTCCATTCTAAACTCACGACTCCAAGGAAGAGTAAAGGAACGACTATAAATTCGGCCCTAAGTCGTCAGCTGTTTAAACAGCCTACGTCAGGGCGAGCAATAACATGCTGCCTACGTCACAACTGGTAATTTCGCGAGGTGGGATTTGTTACACACGCGCCTTATATAAGGATAGGCCATCCTGTAAAATCTGTTTTTTTTTAAAGATAATTCCCCAAGTCAAAAATTTAGTAACTATGTTGGCAACACAAGCCTTTTCTACATGAAAAATTTGAAAGCATTGACAATTTTACATTGTATTGCCAACCTTATGTCAGTTTGACTTTTATCAACAAAAAAAAAACGCACTTTAGTAGTAGTATGTATCTATCATCCTTGTGGCAAATCAACATCTTACAGGCCAATTTCAATGTAATAGAATGAAATGTTTAGAGAAAGTCTAAGTCTAAGGTTATATATAAGGTTGAATATAACAGCGATTTGCACCGGTGTTCCTTAAAAACAAACTAAGTTAGGTAGAGGCTAAGCTTAAGGTGAACCTTTAGGTTGAGTTGCTTTGCACCGACCAAATCTTAGCTAAGAATTGAAAGTTATTGGCAACAGCGCAAAAATGCGTGTTTCAAGGCAGAAATGAAGGAGGATGTACCTATTTCAAGCAAGGAATTTATCCGTTAACCTATCTTTGCGATTAAAATATAAATATTTTCGTTAATTTCTCCTTTTCTTTCATAAGTTATATCACGTGGATATTTATTTTGAATATATTTTTGGCATTCTTGTGCAAAATTCTGTAGAAATTACCCGACGCACAAAAATAAAAGCATTAACAAATAACTAAATAACAGCAACAACCATAAAAAAACTTCGGCTATGAAAATAAACATATATATATTTTTTTGCTTTGAACATGCAGTCTTCGGAGAAAAGGCTCTTGGAACCTTAGATATTACAAATACAAAATCATCGATAATCAAACCTTGCGTTCGATATTTTGCTCAAAGTGTAGAGCGAGCTGAGCGGAGCCGTAATCACGTGACCAGCGAGCGAACGGAGCAGTTGAACGCCGTATAAAAGTACCGGAAATTTTAATAAACGAACGCGAATGAGGCTGCACCGAGTACACTTTTTAAATAAACGAACGGTAAAGTCAAGCTCGGAGAACTCAGACCAAAATAACGAACTGGAAAGTCAACCAGAATTCTGTCAAAAAAAGAAAACAAAACCCAAAAATGAGGTTAGAATCAAACTAAGCGGAGAAAATCCGGGGCTTAACTTAACTAGACTTGAGGTGGACCCTAAACAACGGTGCAAAGCAAAATCGTAGTTTAAGTTCCACTTAAGACTAAGGCTGACCTTAAGTTGTAGCGGTGCAAATAGCAGTAAATAACGAAAACAATTATTGACCTTTTGTTTAGACGCCATATTGCGGTGCGCGAACATAGTTGCCAAAAGTAGAAAAAAAAATCACTAGCGTACAACATTAAAAACAAAAGGGACTGGATAAATTACATTTTAAAATTAAAATTTGCCGCCTATTACGAATGTTTTTGAAAAGAAAAGTCATCAATTTTAACTTGTATTGGGCAGAATAGAAATAATAAAATATCGACCTATTCACTTTACCAAATTTCGGTTTCCTTTCTCAAGCCTATACTCATAACCAGTGATGTGCCTGTAGACAATGTCAACGTAAACAATTGATTGTCTACGCGTAGACAATTCGAATTGTTTACGTGAGCATTTGTCTACACATTGTCTACATGCGGCGTAAACAATAACTTATTTTAAAAAATTCGAAAAAAAATATCAAAAGTTATTATACTATCACTTTCACTTCGATATCAGCATTCACTGATTATAAAATATCAGGAAAACCAATAATAAAATAAAAAAAAATAAAAAACGGAAAGTGTGAGGTTAGAATTAAACGTCATTTATATTATTTTACATTGTTGACACGTTGTCTACATTGTCTACACGTTAAAGTAGACAATGAAAGTCTACGTGTAGACGCACATCCCTGCTCATAACCGCGAAATTCGCTCTTTTTTGACATTGCTTTGACAATTTGACGTTTAATGCATGCCACAGATTCATGCATAAAACGTCAAATTGTCGAAGCAATGTCAAAAAAGAGCAAATTTCGCGGTTATGAATACTAGGCTTTATTGTTTATAGAATCAGAGAGAGAAAGTAAACAAACAAAAGGTATAGCGAGGATCAATCATTTAGTTACTTTTGTTTTTAATGTTGATAGCCCGCTAGTAATTTTTGTTTTCTTCTTTTGGCAACTATGTTCGCGCACCGCAATATGATGGCGTCCAAACAAAAGGTCAATTTCCTCTGTTCCACCTCTAGCATTCCAAGCGCTTTATGCTGGAGGAGGAACAGAGGAAATCGTTTTCGTTTTCTATTTATCCGTAGACTTTTTCTAGACATTTCATTCTATGCCTGTGTGGAACAAATCTGAAGCCCCACCCCACCCCCGCCAAGCCAAATCATCAGTTGTGACGTAGGCAGCATGTCCTATCTCGCCTTGACGTAGGCTGTTTGCACTCAGTTATCATTTCGCGGGCTTTTGCTTTATAAATAATTGGGTTTTACTAAATTATTGACATTCTAAAACCAATGCATATGAACCGGATGGACGAAAATTTGCATATAGAAAAGAAGCCCTAATCTGGTTTTAGAGCCATATTCTCCGTAGTTCATAAAGCCTGGCTTAGTGGAAAAGCTTGGCTTTGTCGTACAAAAAGCTACGGTGAATATGGCCCTTAGCAACTAATCTGGATCAACTCTTCACGGTGTATTTGTGCATATGTTAATCAAAAGAGTTGTATTCCTTTCAAGAGTTTGAAACAATCGAGCTACTCGCTCCGGTGTTTAGTCGCCCCCGATTTGCAGGGAACAGATGCGTGGTGCAACAAACACTTTTCGAAAGGAATAAGCGCATGAAGCTAAAAACTGCAGGATCACCAATACGAGTTATGCAAGAAGAAGTTAAAAAACACTGCGGCTTCTTGAAAAATGGTAGGGCACCAGGGCCAGGAGAAATATATGGAGAACTGATAAAGTGTGGGACCAATAAACTCTACAAACATTTAACAAAACTATTTCAAACATGCATAGATAAACAAGAAGTACCGGAAGAGTGGAAAGTAAGCTATTTAACAACGATATATAAGAAAGGAGACAGAAACAAATGCGAGAACCACCGAGGAATTGCAGTAACAAATACGCTGAGCAGAGTGTATGGAAAACTCATAAAAGCCAGAATAGAGAACGAGTACAAAGATAGTGAGGCAGAAGAACAGGCCGGTTTTAGAGCAGGAAGATCAACTGTAGACCATTTATTCAGTTTGGCCCAGGTAATGGAAAAGAAACTAGCCTATAACCAAGAACTCCATTTACTTTTTGTCGATCTAAAGAAAGCATACGACAATGTTCCGCTGAAAAAGCTTTGGGAAGCGCTGGAAAAGACCAATATCAACTTAGAACTAATAAAGGCGGTGAAAACGCTCTATAGTGATGCAAAGACCAAGATTAAACAGGGAGACTCAATCAGTAAAGGCTTTATAGCGGCTGAAGGACTTAAGCAGGGATGCTGCATATCACCAACACTTTTTAAAATATACTTGGAACAAGCGCTCAAAGGGTGGAAAAACAAATGCAGACACATGGGAATACCGCTCAATGAATACAATCTTTATACTTTAAGCTTTGCAGATGATCAAGTATTAATTGCACAGGACTATGATGACCTAGAGTACATGACACGAAAATTGATAGAGGAATACGAGAAATGGGGTTTGGAAGTAAATTTAACGAAAACAGAATATATGACTATAGGAGGTGAACAACGAAATCTGAAATTGAATAACGGACAAGAAATAAAACAATGTTCTGAATACAAATATTTGGGCATGAAAATCTCACACGAGGGAACCCTAGACGAAGCAATTAAAGATAGGAATATACAAGGACGCAAGGTAATATCCCTACTAAATGGTGTACTGTGGGATCAAAATATCAACAAAACTAACAAAACGAGAATATACAACACCATAGTCAAAAGCATAGTCACGTATAGTTCAGAAGTCTGGCCACTAAAGATCAGAACCGCAAAAATGCTGGAAGCAACTGAAATGGACTTTTGTAGGAGATCGGCAGGCAGGTCAAAAATGGAGAGGATAACAAATCTGAGAATTAGGGAGATTATGGACGTAAAACACACAATAATAGATGATATAAAGGACAAACAGCTGATTTGGTTCGGACATGTACAAAGAATGGCAGATACAAGAATACCCAAGCAAATAATCGAGTGGAAGCCAGGGGGAAGAAGAAGACGCGGCAGACCAAGAAGAAGCTGGAGAAGTGGTGTAGACGAGGAAATGAAGGACAGAGGCCTAGAAGAGGATGCCTGGATTGACAGAGATGGTTGGAGATCGGGAATCGGAAGACGTAGAACGTTATAAACCGATAATTATATATATATATATATATATATATATATATATATATATATATATATATATATATATATATATATATAAGCGCATGAAGCTCCGGAGCTGTTCCGGAGCTCGTCCTATGTGTGAAAGGGATACAACTAGTAGACCAGAGCCGCTTTCCAGTATGGGAGTGTGACGCCCGGAGCTACTCGGGGCTTGAGCCCCCGAGCTGTTCGTACGCGTCAACCTATCAGCTGTCACATCTGTGGGTGGCTATTTATCTATTTATTTCTTGTTATATCTCAAGATTGAACATTTTAAAACATATAGTTTTGACAGATAATTTATTTTTAAAATTTGACATATTTGACACTAACACAGGCGTCTCACGCCATGATACTGGAACGGTACAAATCTAGTGCGTGGCGCCCCAATGTGCATACTGGAAAGCGGCTTAGGAGGGCTAGTGCAAACAGCTGACGCCTCATGGCCGTTTGCATCGACGATTTTGAGGAAGGTTCAAAGATAATCAACGCTTAAAGTGACATTTTCACATGTGAAAATGTCACTTTACACCTTGACCAAAAACGAAGCCGATAAGCAATACTTATAGCGTGTAATATCCTTGATATCCTTGCGGCCGAGGATAGTTCATTATCCTGACATTTTAAGCTTTGACGTCACAACGTCAATGTCCTTGCAATCCGTGACGTAATTTGAACATAAAAAAAAATAAAAATAAATTCCGCACACGTCTTGTCTTTGGTTCTTTTCTTCTATACTGTCTAGCCACAAGTGCAAAGAAGACATAAAATCAGACGGCAGACGAAATCACGAAATAATCTCCCAGCAGGCTGAAGCAAGTTTTGTGTCCCCGTTATTCCTCCATAACAAACACAAAAGAATGACTCAACTTTTTCTAGATCAAAATATTGCAAAACAACTAAAAGCCAAATGAAAACTTTCACCTGATTAGTTGTGGTTGCATTATTTTTGAGTCGTTTCCAATGTCCTTTTGAAGAGTTTTTCAACAAACGTTATGGCGAGCAGCAGCAGACGAGATGTCCTAAAAACCTCCATGGATCCTTTGCCTAGTAGCAATGACCCCTTGAGGGAGTTGTTCGAGGCCTGCAAACTGGGTGACATTGCAAGAGTGAGGAAATTGGTGACTCCGACTTCTGTTAATGCTAGGGATACCGCAGGGAGGAAGTCGACACCCTTACATTTTGCAGCTGGTAAGATCTTTGATTTATTTTTATTAGTCAAATTGTAACTACTTACAAATCTAAACAGTTAACTCAACTGCAACTGTACCTGCCAGAAAAACAATTACTTAGCTTTATGGGAACATTTATGTACCTACTTACCTTACCTAAGTAATTCCTCAAGTAGGTACTAAGTAAGTTCTAATTTATTGTCCTATTTATTCTGTTATTACAATTTTTCCATTATTCATATCTAATTTACTTAGTTGGTAATTGAATAATTCAAATTCTTCATTAAGGGACCAGCCCTCGGACCAGCCAGAAGCCAGTAGGTATATCAAAATACATTAATAATTAGACAATAAAATCTAATATCTAAAATAACTAAACGACCTGTATTGTGTTTTTCAACCTCTTCCAAGATAAATTAAATACATCTACCCGAGGATCTACCTTTCTTGGCAATTGATTGCAAATTCTTGACATAGGACTAAAATAGCCATAAAATCCCCTGTGATATAATATATTGAACAGTTCATTCTCTATTGTATATCTTGCAGGTACATGAATATTTATAATTATCTCAGAGGACAATCAAGTAATACCTAATAAAGATAAATCATTAAAATTTCAATAGGAATTCCTAACTTACAGCCTGTAGGTTTTAGTAACCATCTTTGAATCCTTTTCAGCATGTGTATTTTATTTATCAAGGTACATATTTATATAAACCTGGTAGTTTGCGTACTAGACTGTGGAAGCATTATTCAAGTACCTAGTGATGTAAAATTCCCGAAACATTCAAACGCTGCGAACATTCTCGGAATATTGGAAACTTTCGGGCACATATGGAAATATTGTTTTTTCTTCTTAAATTTATAGCAAAACCAGACAAATCAGTAGCCTTATTTATTATTGAAGTGTTCTGACTATAGACTATAGAACAAAAAAAAAAAAAAAAACACCTATTTTTTTCTGTAAGATCAGCTAATAATAAAGCTATAAAGTAAACCAAATATTTTAAAAAAGTAAGGACTTCCATATACATATAGTGATGTGAACAAGGGAACGTTCTGATTGTGCTTTCGAGAACATTCGCGAACGTTCGCGCACAAAAAAAAGGTTCGTGCTGAATATTACCTTCGGAGCACAATGAGCACGATAGAGAATATTCAGCACGTTCTCAAGCACGATCCTAACCAATAAAATCACATGACGCCATAAAGTAGAGATATATGTATGGAAGCTGTTGAAGGCGAAGATATATCGAATATTGAGCCTGAGAACCAGGAAGCAACTTAGCAGCAATAGTTATTTTTTTTTGGAGGCAAAGGTAGCGTTGTACTGGAATATACTTAAACTAAAATCACTATTTTATTTTATTATCAAAAAAAAAAAGAATCCTAATGATAATTGTATGTTGAAGTTTCACAGAAAACCCCAAATTAGAATAATTATTGTTATCAAAGATGACACAAGACACAAGACACAATTCACAAATTATGTGATTAATTATGTATTAAGTAGGTATATTTTCTTAAGAAGTTTGAGAACTTTCAGCACATTTATCAAGAATTTTCAGAATATTCAGAACTTTCACGAGAAATTTGGGAATTTCGGGAAATTTGAGAAAAATCAGAATTTATTTAGAAAAATGTTTTGTTTTATTCAGCTTCTGATAAAAAGCATAAATTCTCGGGTCCTGCTCGTTTTTGCTCGTTTATTCTCGTTAATTCTCGATCGTGCTCGGAGAACGTTCTCCTAAAATACTTGCTCGAGCATTTTACATCACTACTTCCATAGACCATAACTATAACATAGGATCAAAAAACGCACCAAGAAATTTGGCAGTAGTCATGTATCTGCATTTGCTTTTCCACCCCTTGATAAGCGCTTTTTCTAAGTATATTTCAAAAAGTGTTGCTGATAGACAGCATCCCTGTTTAAGTCCTGCAAAGCCTTTGCTGATAATGCTTCCTTGTTTAATCTTGGTTTTTGCATCACTATACAGGGTGTCCCACATAAAAGTAAACGTTATATATTAAATAAAAGATATGTAGTAAAAAACACTTTCATGGACGGATGAATAAGGCTTTTACGTTAACGCTGATCCGATTTACCCGATCCTCGACCTGATCTCCCAGTTCTTCATTTTTATCTTTCTTCAATAAAGACGATTAAAAAAAGACAAACTGTAGGTATATCAGCTCAGCTGGTGATCGGGAAAATCGTATCTACATTTCCATGAAGACAGTTGGACAGCTACAACATCAAAATAAATTGAAATGACTTCACGTAGACCTTGTATTTTTAATAAATAAATAAATAAATATCGCCTTTATTCAATATTAATAACAGAAAAAAAAAATCGACAAGATACATTCCCATACAAAGAAGAACAATAGTATAAGTAAATATAAATTAACATGATAGGGGATGCAAACTCTAGCATGGCGAAGTCTAGCTTGAAAGCTACTCAAACTCAACCATATCCAGTGATATGCATACACCCCACATATCAATGAAATGTACCATCATAATATTCCCTAAAAAACTAAAAAGTATATCTAAAAAAAAAGCGCAAATATGAGTAAATATTTAAATTTAAATATTTAACTATACATTACATTGGAATTTTAACCAATAATATAAATAGTTTTAAGATAGTTCCGAGACACCAGCGCACCACCCTCTAGCAAGCCATCAGCAACTGAATTAGGGAAGGGAATTAACCTGCTCATTAAACAATATAGAACGGTATTCACGCTTGAAACTTGTGATATTAAGTTCCTTTAAGCCATGAGGAAGAGAATTATAAAGCTTAATAGCATTATAAATAAAACCCCTTTGAAATAAGGAGGTTTTGTGTTGTGGAATTGTAAATTTCTTGTTTGATCTGATGTTCCTATTATGTACATTATTGCGGGGAATAAACTTATTCTTAAGTAACAAAGAAGCATGAGGGGAGGTGAACAATGAATGAAGAAAATTTCCAAAATGATGAGTTCTCCGATTATCCATGTTGAGCCAGTTGCAGTGAACAATCTTATGAGAGATCCGATCATACTTTCTGAGACCGTAAAGAAGTCTACAGCAAGAGTTTTGAATTTTTTGAATCCTATATCGATCCAGTGCGTACAAAAAATTACCATAAATGAAATCACAGTAACTGAATCGTGACAGCACCAAACTGTCACACAACATCCGTTTCAATTGACGACTTAAAATATCTCGATTGGAATAAATAAGCTTGAGAGCACAATATGCCTTGCTCCATGATACTTTTGATATGTTCTTGGAATCGCAACTCTTCATCAATAATAAGTCCAAGATTACGCGCAGAAGACACAAACGGTAGAGGTACGTTATCTATATGAATAAACAGGTTATTTTTGACAAAATTACGACCTTTGGCACTGCCGAAACAGATGAGATTAGATTTTTTAGAGTTTAAAATCAAATTGTGCTCCAAGGACAATAATTTTATGTTTTGGAGCTCTCTGTTAATTAATTCTTCAGCCTCAAGAATATTAGTCAGCTTAAAAGAAAAATAAATTTGTGTGTCATCAGCATAGGCTATCACTCTACAATTTTTAAAAGCTTTTATGATATCACTTGTATATAAAATGAAGAGAAGTGGACCCAGTATTGAGCCTTGAGGAACCCCAGAGTAAACAGCAATTGGGTCAGAAGATATTCCACCAAGCTCAACCCTTTGAAGACGCTGAGATAAATAGGAACGCATTAATTCAACCGAGTGAGGTTGAAAACCATAGAATTTTAATTTGGAACAAAGCAAACGATGATCAAGAGTGTCAAACGCTTTGGAGAAATCTAGAAGAACAAGAGCAGAGGCAAGCCCCTGATCAGAAGCAGCAACCATATCATCGATCACCGCAGCCAAAGCCGAGGCTGTACTAAAATCTTTTCTAAAACCACACTGTGCATCAGGAAGAATATTTTTCTCGAGGAGATAGGCATATATTTGATTGTAAAGAATTTTTTCGAAGACCTTTGATATTGTTGGCAGAAGACTGATAATTCTTAGATCTCCAAAATTTTGAGGATTACTATTCTTTGCAAGTGGTTTGCCAATTGACAGCTTCCAACAACTTGGAAAATAATTATCAAGTATACAGCAGTTTATAATATGCATGATGTAAACATCTATCACGGGGCTGCACTGTTTAAGCATATATGAAGATATATTGTCAGAACCATAAGCATTAGTTTTGATTCCATGTAAGACTCTATGCACTTCTTCAGTTGTGGTAAGACAAAATGAGAACGTGTTGCTAAGAAAAGAAAAATTATCATAATATTGAACTTTATTGTCACAGTTATTTGATACTTTTTGAATGAAATCACCAAAATATTTATTTATTTCATCAGGGTTGGACAGTTCTGGGGGAAGAGTTCTCTTATTATTAGAACGTACATTAAGGGAAGCCAGAGCTTTCCACGTTTTAGAGGGGTTTTTTTCCCCACAGACATTTTGGAGATAGTCCCTTTTAGCTTGCCTAACCAGAGACACAGTATGATTGCGCAGCTGCTTGTAGTGATTCCAATCATTGACAGATCTAGTTCTTTTGAATGTAGATAATGCATTAGCACGCAGCTTTTGAAATCGTTTTATAGTGTCATTCATCCACTCAGCCTTGGGCTTTGACACTCTTGAAACTTTTAAAGGGGCATGCTTGTTAAAAAGACTCACAATTAGCTCATTAAAAATAACAATCTTACGGTCGATACTTTTTTCATGATAAATTTTATTGAAATCTGCGTTAATCAAATCAATATGAAAAGTAGCTGAATTAAAATTTGTAAAACATCTGTGTTTGACTTCCTTGGGTTTAGGCTTAGTAAACGTTGTTTTAAGAGTTACAAAAACAAGATGATGATCAGAGATATTATCACATGACACTGTACCACATGATATCACTGAATTGTGGTTAGAAACCAAGATCGGGTCGATCAAGGTGCTGGAGTGCAAAGTCACCCTTGTTGGATCATTAAGAATTTGAGACAGT